ATAAGACCCTCCGCCGGCCAACGCACACACAAAAACATACATGAGCACACGACAAACAAAAACATCAAGGTACTTCCTCCCCGAGCCGACCTCGATCTGAAGCCCCGAACCGACCGTGCGCGAATCTGCATAATGATCTTTCGCGGCGGCTTACGCCGGCGGCAAGCGCGGAACGCTGCATTGGCGACGAGGGCGCTCGCGCGCGACCTCACGCGGGCACCTTGCGCGCCAACGTCGGCGAAGTCGACGCCCGTTCTCTGGCGTCGTTCACCTGGAACGAGCGATGCGTCGCCGATGACTCGGCGACAGGCCACCGACAGCGAATCCGAGCGGTGCTGGGCGGGGTGGGCCATCGGGACCCTGCTGGCGATGAGTGGGGATTCGGGGTCGAAGCGTCCACCCTTCAGCCCCCCCCCACCCCTCACGTTGCCCCCGAACGTCGCCCCTGAGTCTCTCCCTCCCCTATCGTTGCCCTTCACGATGCGCCCTCGGCCCCGTGTTTCCTCACTGTCACTACTTATTCCCCCTGCTCCTGTCCTGGGTCTCATCGTGCTGACAGTCATGTTGATCATGTGGTGTGCTTATCAGTTTCGATCACCTTTTCTGATCTTCTACCACGTCCGACTGCGCCTGCCTACTGGCCCGCCAAATCTTTGACCAGGGAGCGATGCGCCGGTGCCGCCAGCCCTCGGGGAGAGGAAGTCGGGTCGGGCGAAAGGGGGGGATAGCAAAGGGGGGGTTTGAGAATCAGCTCATGTAGCTGATTTTCCTGGCGCCTCCCGCCGCCGGAGGCGGCTATGTATCGAGGAATGGGCCCCTCGGTGAAGCCGAAACCAGCTGCATGTAGCAAATTTCGTAACCCCCTTTCCCAATCCCCCGCTTTCGTCCGGCCCGAGGAAGGCGAGGGGGGGCGCTATGGCGCCACGGCGGAAGCGCGGCGCCCGAGTGTTCGCTCGGCCGCCCCAGCCGCGCCGCAGCGCGGCCGGGCCCGACCGCAGTGAGCCTCGACGAACCTGCCATCTGTCCTTCGACGAACTTGCCATCCAGGATTACATTGGTAGGGAGGAGGAGGAGGAGAGGGAGGAGGAGAGGTTGTTACCCCCTTTTGTCATATGGTGGTTTCAGGGATTGAGAGGAAGAAAAAGCAACCGAAATTCCGAGATCATTCAGCTGACATTACATAGTTTGCAGACGTGGCACGGCAGGGGTAGAGTTTGTCTGACGGCCCTATCGTACGAGACCCACAAGTGGCATCAGGATATTTGCCTGCGGCTGCACTGAATGAGCACAGGGTGAGGGTGGAGGTCGAGGGATTGGGCTTGTCAGAAAGGGCAAGCGTGATAGTAGCATGGGAACTCGGGCATCGACCATAGCTAAAGACAGCGTCAGACTTTGGAGGGGATTGATCTCAGGACATATGAAGCACGGGGGCCTGGAGCAATGTGGACGCACAGCGCCAGATAAACTAGCAACGTCGGCGACGAGCAGTGGGAGGCTGGAGTAATGGAGGGTCAAATGGGTAACGGAGGGGAGACGGAGGGATTGGCGAAGCATGGCGGTGAGCAAGAGCACGTTTGGGGTGGCGGGAATGGAGACGGAGAGAGAGGACAGGAGAGACGACGACACGTGAAAGGTCGGACGGACTATGAGGCGGCCACGGGAGGAGAGGCAAGCACCGAAGACAGAACAGTGGAGAGCGAATGAGCAGGATATGGAGAAAGGGAGGGGCACAGAAGAAGAGAAAGGAGGGAGCTTCAAACGACAACATCAACATCGGCAGCTGCAAGCCGCGAGCCTTCGGAGTGAAGACCTTCTCGAAATAAGCAGGGGGGTGGCGGGGCCGCAGACCCGCCGTTCGCGCGCCGTGCTGACCCTCTCTCGCTCACGTTCGTTTCCTCTGACTCTCTCTCTCTGACTCTCTCTCTCTCTCTCTCTCTCTCTCTCTCTCTCTCTCTCTCTCTCTCTCTCTCTCTCTCTCTCTCTCTCTCTCTCTCTCTCTCTCCCTCCCTCCCTATTGTGCCCCTCCAAGCCCATCCCCCCAAACGTCCTCAAGGATCACGCTTCCCTTTCACCCTCTCACCGCCAGGCCCCTCGAACTCATTCAGTCGAACCACCCCCTCGAAGATCTCAGCCAGCAGCCAGCGCAAGGGACGGACAGGATAGGACGAGCAACGTGTGGGGGGTGCGTCTGAAGAAAAGGCCGCCGACTATGAGCAAGACAGGTTTGGATGAGAAGGAGGCGGACGACGCCGACGACGATGGATGGAACTGAAACTGAGGATGGGTGCACGATGCTCGGGGGGTGTGTTGCAAAGCGGCCTGGCCCCACCTGGCCACTGTTGTAACTCTGCCACTGCGCTGCAACGAGTGGCAGCATCACGCACTAAAGCAAGAGTTCGACGTGTTACCCCTTGGCCTCATCCCTTCATCCTCCTATATCCCTCCTGAGCCACCGCGCTCTGCGCGACCGACCCTGTCTGACCTATTTGTTGGTGAGCGCCGACGTGGCCCACTTCTTCTTGCTGCTCCCCGACGGTGCCGTAGAAACGCTCGCAATGCTCGCAACATCCGCCGGAGGCTTGTTGACGGGGGCGCCAGCGAGCAGGCTCTTGAACTCGCCGAGGTGGCGGTTGAGGTTCGGCGGGAGGTTCTCGAGCTGCACGTTCAAGTTCACCTTCACCCACTTCGTCGTCTGGTCGTAGTCGGCCAAGGTAGGCTTCCCATCAGTGGTCGTGACGAGGCGAACGAGTGCGATGGAAGCCGCCAACACCGCGCTCTTCTCCAAGATACCCTTGCGGTGGCGGATCATTGCCTGGAGCTCCTCGATCTCCTGCCTCTTGTCGGGGTTGTGCCAATCAACGCTCTTCACAACTGTGCCGATGATCTTCTCATTCGTGGGGAACTGGGCCACGGCGTTCGCGATCTGCTGCCCGAGCTGCTTCACCTTGGGGTCCGCGCCGCCATTGAGCAAAGCCACGTCCGTGAAGTCCCACTTCTCGATGGCCACGTTGAGGTCGTTGGAGTAGTTGGCGATCCAATCGCCCTGCAAGCTTGAAATGAATGCCATCGCAGTCTTCTGCTGTGCAACGAGCGCATCCCACTCCTTGAGGCCCTGCTGGTAGACACGGTCGAACACTGCGTGCTTCTCGCAAGCAGATACAAACTGAGTCAAAGCCCAGGACATGGAACTCAGCAAGTCGTTGACGTCAATGAGGCTAACGGAACGGCCCGCCTTCTGGCGCTCGTCTGCGCTTAAAACCCTATCGAAGATCACCGCCACCTTCAAAACGTCAACAGCTCCAGGAGGTAGGATGTCTTTCTTGATGGTCAGCAAGTTAGTGAGCGTTTTCATCCCTTGAGCGGGTGCCTTTGTACTCTACGAGCGTATCCCTGAAGCGGTCGCGCATGCTTCGCTTTGCCAGAATGTTCAAAAACAATAAGGCTGAAGGAGACTGTTGGAACGTGTCTGGAAGAGGCCTCGAATGTAGAGCCAAGTTCTTCGCGTTCTCAGCATGTAAAACCTCCGTCCATTTGTTGATCATCTCAGTGGGGTCGGGCAGGATCTCCTTGTCTCTGGCCTCCGCAAGCTTGATCGTGACAGCGAGGTGGTTCGTGAGATGGAAGAGGACGCATGCTTCCTCAGCCGGCGGGCTGAAGTGCTCCAGGATTTTGAAGATGTGGTAGAACACGTTGGCCATGTCCCACAGGTCTGGCACTTCATCCTCGGGGGGCTGTTGCCTATCTGGTAGCTCTGGTGAGTAACCGCTCCCACTGTAGATGCCCTCCACAAGGTCCTTGAACGAGTCGGTGAGGTCGACGACCTCGTTGAACACCTTTAGCGACACCTCGATGAACTTCGCGCCCAGGCCAAACATATCTCGACCCTCCTGCGAATCAATAGTAAGCCCTCCCTGGCAGAAGACGTCGCCGAACTGCTTTGCCTCAGAAACACCATCAGAGCATATCTCCACCAGTACCTCGTACGCCTCCTCGAGCCTGCCACCATCACCCCTCTTGATCATCTCCTTGACCCTCCCCGCGAACCTATTCTGAAACATGTTCTCGCACTGCTTGGCATGCATCTCGCTCAAGTTCGTCATCGTGTCCCAGGCCTGCTTGCCATGCGTAGCATGAGATCCACCGAGAGATTTGAAATTCACCTTCATTCTGGGGGAGAGCTTCGACGCATTCTTGAGTAATGCCATGGCCGCAAGTCGGGTAGAGTGCTGGATAGGCACGGACTCGCCTTGGAGGTCGACGTTCCTCCTGGCGTCAACGACCTGGCCGACGATCGCCACGGCGCCCAAATCCACGGCTGCTTGGGGCGTCAGGCCACACACGAGCTGATCGCCCCAAGCGTCCACGTCAGCGATGTCCTCGATGAGCTTCGGGCAACGTTCTGAAATCGCCTTGGCGATGGCACCAATCGACGATTCGTCCGACAGCTTGAACACAACGTTCCCTAAGGCCAAGACAATGGACACCTGAAGCTTCCCAGCCATCTCCCTCGCCCTGCTGGCCTCGCAAGACAAGCCCAACATGGGCACGTTCAAGTGATTCTCCCCCAGCGCCGCCTCGTCGAACTGGAGCACATTCAAGATGCTGCTGATGTAATCCTCGTGGGTCCCGACCTTCTCCACCAGCGCATGCAAGTTCATCGAGAGAATCGTAGACATCAGGTCGTCGGGCGCAGACTTCAGCATGTCGAATAGTTTCGCCTCGATGGGCGAGGCGACAAACGAGGCAAACTCCCGTGGCTTACCGCCCACCTTGTCAAGTAGCTCCTGTCTGCACTCCCACTTGTCAGCCTCTGTGAAGATCCTGGCGGAGAGGTCAGTCGCCGAGTCGTTCCCAGCCAAACCCCCAGCTGCTTTACCAGCACGCTGCAACTTAGATAAGAAAGATTGGAAATCCTTCTCGCGGTTGCGGTTCTCCCAGTGGTTCTCCCAAGAATATTTCTCTTCCACTTGTCGTAGCGCGAGCTCGCCTTTGTCGATCGTGGCCATGGCCCCCGTCCGCCTCGGCTTCTTAGATGCATCCGTTGGAGCGTCCACGCCACCAGGTACATCGGCAGGCCTCTTCGCAGCCGCAGGCGTGGTAGGTGGCAGCGAGGCTGGCTTGGCAAGGTCTGCCCCTGATCGACATGATGACCTGGCCGTCGAAACAACATCATCACATTCGTCTTCTTCAACTGTCGCCGTGAGGCGAGAAGCAAACCTGGCGCTCGAAGGCGCGGGGGCTCCAGCCTTGGCAGCTTCCTCGTCGGCCTTGCCAGTGGTGCGCCTGCGGCCGAGGCCCATCTTCGTCGCGACGATGCCGTGTCTCTCATCAGCGCCCTCCTTCGACTCATGCTTCTCCGTCTTCGACTTCTGGCCGGCCCTCTCCCTGCCGCGCATGAATCGGTAGGCCCCGAACTCGGCGCCTGACACGTCGGACACCTCGATACCAAGCACGCCGTCGTCGTCCTCGATCACCGTCTTACCCTTAGACTCGATCTGCTGAATCAGGTCGTCCTCATCCGAGTACTTCAGATTCCAGATCCTATGGGGAGCCCTCCTCCCCCTCCTCCTCCTCCTCCTCCTCTTCCTGTTCCCCACCCTCCTTCCCTTGCTCCCTACCTCCTGCTCCTCCTCCTCATCGTCCACCTTCTCCTCCTCCTCCTCCTCCTTTCCCTCCTCCTCGTCCCCCATCGCGTCCTGGCAGTGTAGTCTATCGGCTGGAAGACGCCAGAGTCGTAGTCCTGGTCGAACTGCTTGTCATTCTTCTGTGTCGTGCGCTCCACGTTCATGGCGTGGTTTCTCTCGTAGTGGCCTTCACCAGACACCACAGACCTACGACAGGGAGCAAACTTCTCAGCCAGATCCTTGTCCTGCTTACGTACCTCTCTCGCCTCGGCTAAAGTGACCTTCGTACCGTGGACCCTCCCGCGGGTCTTATAGCAATCGTAGCACTCGTCCCTCGCCAAAGAGGTCCCCTTTTTTGTATTGTTCCGTTTGTGCCACTCGAGGAATTTTCCATCGCCGTCGCGATCGGCATCATGCGTCCACTGCTCACAGTCCACGCAGAACCTATTGTCGAACTCGAGCAGGGGATTCGTGTTCTCCCCCTTCTTGGCCTTGGACTTCTTAGGAGGCATGATGCCGTCAAGAGTCTCTGCAGGCCGGAGTCAACAACAACTTCGGTTGGAGGTTGACCCCCGAATCCGTTGGGCCACAACGGCAACGGAGGGGAGGACGGTGGAGTGATGGGTGCAGTTGGCGTGAAAATGGAAGATGCGTTGTTGTTGCGTGACGTGCTACTCTGCTGATGCTTGGACGTCGCGCTCTTGCTGTGCGATGCCTGGCACTCATGCTGCTTCCGACGTGCACGGAAAAAACGATCCGAATGACGACGACGACGAAGACGGCGATATTCCTCCTCCTCCTCCTCTCCCTTCCTTCCTCCTCCTTCTCCTCCCCTTTCTCGGCTTAGCCCCCCCCCCCCCCCCCCCCCCCCCCCGACAACACCCGCAACAAAATGGCATTTGTTGCGGGTCCCCCTCCTTCCCTTCGTCTTCAGCCGTTTCCTATTCCTCGTTCTCCTCCGTGTCCTCTCCTCCTCCTCCTCTTCTTCATCCTCCTCCTGCTCCTCCTCGTCCTCGTCTCTCTCTTCCTCCTCCTCTTCCTCCTCCTCCTCTTTCGTTTATGTGCCGTGTGTTGGTGTTCCGACTGATCAATATTGCGTGTTGTTGTCGGTTGTTGTTGTGTTTTGTTGTAGTATCATGCTTGATGGCTCCTCTGATCCAAATCGTGATTGCGGCTTCTGCTGATGTGCTCCTGCGCGCTGCTGCGCACTGCTGCGCTGGCACGGCCTGGGGGCAAGTATGCGACGAGGAGGGGTGGACCATGAGAGAGATACCCTCTTCGGACCTGCCGACCGTTCACCTCGACCCTGACCGAGTGGCTGGACTTTCTCGCTCACGCGCGCCGCAGCCCTTGCTCTGACTCAGTCCTGAGGCCCTTAGGTCCAGTCCGGCCTCCGCAGACCAGGCCGCGTAGGGCATGCCCAACACGCGGGCACATCAACTCGCCTGCCCCCCCCCCCCCCCCCCCCATGCCGAAACCGAGTCCCAGAGAGGCCCCAGGAAAGTTAAGAACACATTCCCAGAATCTAAGAACACATTTAAGAACACAGTATGTTCTTAAATTTCGGCCCTGAAGTGCGCGAGGGGTGCCAAAAAAAAACAGCCCCAGGGAATTTAAGAACACATTATGGTCTTAAAAGTGTTCTTAAATGTGTTCTTAGATTTCGAATGCGTTCTTAGATTCTGGCGGCAGAGGCGCGGCCCTCCCAGAGTTCCCCCCGAAAGTAGCATGCCCCTCAGCTTGGGAATCCCGAAACGCCCCCGGATGGGCATTGATGTTTTCATCTTCGGGAGGGGGCCAGGTCTCTCAAAAGATCAAGTCAGAAACGAACATCAGCCGATCTCTTCGGCAACCCTAACAAGAACAGGCCGCGCCTCAGGTGTCGACTCTATCAGCTCAGCAAGCACAGCCCGATCGTGTTCTCTATTTTCTTTAGGTGCTTTCACGAGGCACTGGGAGTGAATGCAACGTTCTGCATTGATCTTGGTACCTGGTAACAAGCGGTACCTGAATCGCCAGACGCCTTTGGGGATCTTCTCGTCGCGCCATGGACACACGGAACGATTCGACAATGAGATGTGGCATTCGACTAGCCCGACGATGTCTCGATGATGCGGTGGAGGCTCTGGCGCCTTCACCTCCTCTGGCCCCTTGGGCTCCGCTGGCTCCTAGAAGCGACGGAGACTGGGGTTGGGGGGGAGGGCGACGGGCATGGGAATGAAGAGCGTTAGAGAAGGATAAGGGAGCGTGAGGGTAGACAATAACAAGAGAAATGAATGGAAGGGCAGCGAAAACGGATAGAATACCGAGGGTCCTCGTCATTGTCCACTTGGTCTTGGTCTAAATCTTCAATTCCTGGAGATTCCTCCGAAGCCGCCTCGCCCTCTGACTCCTCCTCGCCCCTCTGTTTTAAGACCGCCTCCTCATCATCGGATACATCGCTGCCGGTGTTGTCGTCGTCTCGTGCTTTCTCTGGGGCTGGACGTTCTTTCGTCGGCTTCAGGGGGATCCCAAAAAACGGAACTTTGAATGAAGGTTTGGGCATGCTTTTCTTGATTGGCTTCACAACGCTGATAAGGGGCACCGCTTGTTCGAAATTCGGCGTGACGTTCACAACGTATTCGCTCACGTCGCTCCTTCCAGAATGATTGTAGAATTGAACGTCCACGGACCCGATCTCATGAGGCGAAACCCCTCTCACGGCAGCAGCATCAATCAAATATTTACGAATGGCCCCAAACGCCAGGATAGGACGCATCGGCTTGGCGATGCCGACCATGTCAGACCCATCGTACTCGTCTGTAAAGCATGCTGGAACGAGAGTGATCGACTCCCCCCTGTTGAACATCTTTGCCAAAAAAAAAAAAGAATCTCTCTGACATGCCTTCGATTGAAAGGCGGATGACGATGGGGTACTTAATTAATTCTTTCTTGCCAACCTGCCTCACTAGAAGCCTGCTCCTGTTTGCAGACATCAGATTGCACACGTTCTTACAGAAGTTGATGCCTGGCTGCAGGAGGGGGTCTGCCCGACAAACCCCACCAAAACGAACGCAGCAGCACGTGAAGCAGGTCCTGGTCTCAGCTGGGTTGGGGGTTGGCGCCTCGTCCGTGGCGACGGCGGCGTTGGCCCGCCTCTCCATCTCGTCCCGGCCCCCCTCCAGTACCATGGCTTCCCTCAAGCCCGTGTCGAAGCAGTGGAGCTTCGAGCCACCTCCACTCCCTCTCTTGGGCGGGGGCTCATGTGGGCCCCTCCTGCCCCTTCCTCCCCCCCCCCTTCCCTCTCGTTATCCCCCTTCATCCTTCCCTCGCATCTTCCTCATCTTCCGCTCCTCTTCTCTTCTCCCTCGCCTCCTTCCGACTCCCTCCCTCTCCTCCCGCTCCTCCACTCCGTCGTCGTCATCCACCTTCTCATCTCCTCCTCCTCCAGCTCATCTTCAACTCCCCCGTCATCCTTCTCCTCATCCTTCTCTTCGGCCTCCTTGTTCTCCTCCTCATCCTCCTCCTTCTCTCCTCATTGCCCCTAGCAGGAGGCCAGCTCAAAGCATGGGCAGTAGTAAGAAGCAGCAGCACCGATGACGGAGGCGCAGGCGAGGATGAGGAATCAAAGGGCAGAGGGCGAGAAAGCTGAAGAAGAAACGGATGCAACAAAGAGCATCTCCAACAATCCAAAAACGAGTGAGCTGAACTTCTGGCAAGTGCGCGCACTCTGATTGCTATAGCAATATACCCACTCATGACGGCATGACCCCCCAAAAAACCAAAATATTGCCGGCTAGGGCGCGTCTTTCAATAGGCGATTGGTTTGATCCATGCTAGTTTTTCCGCCTTGCAAACATACCCCACGTCAAAGCCACGCATCATTCGCAACATTGCTGCGCAAACACATCACGGCTACAACGTCGCAATCCCTCCAAATGCCCCCTCCCACCGTCCCAAGAATAATGATTCACAATCTCTGAGAACTTCTGCCTCGCCCTTCGCATGCGATCAGTATGCCTCCTCTGCCTCCCTGCAGCAAGTGGCACGCCTCCCTGGGCAGCAGCGTCAATGACAAGAGCCCTCTCCTCGTAACCTCGACGATCCTCGAGAGATAGCGCTCTCCAATCTGCCAGCACCCTCTGACGGCGCTCGCGGAAAGGCAATGCTGATGAATGTGTCCCGAATTTGTCTTTCACGAACAAGTCATAGGCTCGGGTCTTCCTGGGGCGTGACCTCGCAGCTGAGCCAGGATCTATGCTGGCCATCTGGTTGGCTTTGCGCTTCGAAGCCTTCCTGAAAGCAAACGTCGACAATGACCTGAAGAACTCTGCCCGTGCAGCAGCGCCCCCAATCACATCGGACAGCACTTGTTTCTGCAAGGCCAAATGTGATATCCTGAC